TATTAAATGAACTGAAATCAGTGTGATCTCCAGTCAGAGCAGAGGCCGGTGATAAAAGAATTGGGGCTTTAATCAGCCTGTCTCAGTTGTTTTAACTCTCAGTATCACAAAGTAATGTGGTAACATCTGGACTGATGAGTTTACTGTCAGCATTTTAATCGCTAGTTTAAAGGCTGTAGGCTGCAGCCGTTGCTCTAACACTGTCTAAATGTGTCTAAACAGGCCTCAGTGCTGGTTCTAACAGTCTGAGCTGCTTCAGACTTTATTTGTGAAGAGCACAGCAGCTTACAGACACGCAGCTGGGCCTGGACCGCCCCAAAGGAGTGTTTGTTAAAGCCTGCAGTAAATCCACCAGCAGAATGATGGAAATGCAACACAGAAATGATGAAGATGAGCAGAGATAAAGCCAAATCAAGTCCAGTTCATACAGTTAGGTCCATAAATCAAATAAGGGAAAATAAAATGTTGGTTAGCTGCATCTGTCTGCACCCTTAAAATGCTCTGTGGTCGCTATGGTAACGCGTAAACATTTCTTTCAAAATAAGACACACGACTATATGTAACATATGTGTTAAATACTTTTGAATTTTACCCAAAACACCTTTTTTTAATTAAATATGTCATTTTGCATCTCAATCTCCTACCTGTGTGATCTGAGTCTGTGTGCGTTCGTGTGTGTGTGTGCTGCGTGGTGACGTAGGCGCGTACATGTGTGCCCGGTCACAGCTCCTTTCAGCATGGCCGGAGGTAAGTCACTGCCACGTTGCTCTCTGCTAATTAAAGTTTGTTCAGAGCCCAAGCTGCAATGTGAATACAGCCGAACTGCCGCGTTTTTGTTTGTCATTAAGAGACTCATTTGGGATAAGTTTTGTGGAGGACGGAGTTCGCTAATATACGCTTTTGATGAGTTTTAGCTGAGAACGCAGCTGAAATGCTAGCATGCTAAGTTAGCCCGATCGCTAGCGGCTTGTGAGCGTATTCGCTGCAGTTTTTTAACAGCGTGCACTCTTTTTTTCCTTCGTCAGGAGAGGTGTACTGGCAGTCGCGTGACACACAGAACAGACGCTTATTTCTGTGTTGCAGGTATGGAGATGTTCTTATGTTTTAGAGATGCAGTCTTTCATTCATTGTTTTTATAAGTACAGTGTTGTATTGCCTGTTAGATGGCGGTTATTAATTGTACTTAAGTATAATGTTTGAATTATAAGTACCAGAATATTGGGTCCTGGTGATTGAATTGTATTTATCTGACTGTTTAATTGTTTTTGAATTATTTTGTTTATTGTTCTTATAAGTTGTTTTTAATGATTTTTCAGTGACATATTATTTATTTTGTGCTTTTTGTTTTTGAGAGCTTAAGTTAATGTTTTAAAACAATTTGTTGTATTTGATTTATTATATTGTAGTGTTAATGAAGCTGCGGGCACAGCTCCTTTCAGCATGGCCGGAGGAGAGGTGTACTGGCAGTCGCGTGACACACACAGAACAGACGCTTATTTCTGTGTTGCAGATGTGCAGTAAAGAGCCAAAGACCCAGTACTGTCTCCTGCCTCTTACTTTCACGCCAGAACACAACGCAAAGACGGGCGTAACACATGAACGGGTTACATATAACACCGATAAAGACCCAGGGAAACAGAGTTAACGATAAAAACTCTGAAAACCATAAATTTCACACTAAGCCTCAACTCTCACGGACCGGTCCGTGGCCCGAGGGTTGTGAACCACTGCATTAACACATGGGTAGTTCAGGCAGCACGTCATTTTCATTGTTACTGGTAATAGTCTTTGTGAAAAGCACATTGATGTAAAAATCATGACAAAGTATTTAATTTAATTTCAACAGCTTTTCCACATGACCCTGAGCAATGTTCCCTCTGAGCTGCGCGCATGCGCAATTGCGCACTGCTGGCGCGGTCTCTGCGCAGAAAAAATCTGCGTTGCGCACAAAAAAAAATTCTAACCTGAATTGTGTTTTAGCTAGCAAAGCGTCGTGGCTGATGTGGAGTGAAGCCACGTTAATGACAACGTAAACAACCATTGGAGATGTGAGCAGGACAGACGAACAACTGACGGGAAAAGTGTGGACTTTATACCAGTTTTTAAATTGTGTTGATCGGCCAGTAAAACCAGAGTTGTGATAAAAATATCTGCAATGTTTGGTTTTCTTCCTGAATACTGTCGTTGTTTATATTTACTGCAGGAAGAAACGGTAAAAACAGCGTTTTATAAGGAAAACGCTCGAAATCACTCTCTGCCTGTGAGCAAAGACAAAGCCAAAACACCCCACCCTTTCCCATTGGTCGAAAAATGTACCATGTCGACCAATCAAAACATGGCATTTAGTTGTTTAGAAACGGGAGGAAGTTTTAGGAGTGACGGCGGTTTTGAGATGTGAGAGATTTGAGACGTTTAGCACAAATCTTGTGTAGTTAGTGTGTAGTTAGTGTGTAGTTTTGTTGTGTGTGTCAGAACAATGAGGCGACTGCTGAATGTCACAGGTGTTACAGCAGTGATACATCTGCTGCTGTCAGGCCTGCAGGTAGAAAGTTCAAGTTATTTTAACTTCCAGTAGTGTTAACATACTACACAGGTCATGAACAAGATTTTTTTAAATTTTCATTGTAAGTGGGATAAAGCAGTTAGTTAATTAAAGCAGTTAATTAAAAGTAGTTTAACATAAATGCTGTAATTTGATTACTTTAATAAACATGTAACTTGGATGATTTGATGCTGGCGTGACCACAGTGCACACGTCTGCTGTCACTCACAGTGGTCCAAGGGACGCTCAGGGAGTTTGTGTGTTCAGACACATGAAACATTAGAGGGAACATTGCCCCTGGGACACTGGGCAGAAACCCCCCCCCCCCCACACACACACACACATACCAGGCCTCCTATAACCAAGTCAAATTGTCAGGAAGCAGATGTGTGATCTCCACCCATGAGCACGCTCAGGGACCTCAGAATGTCTCCACTGATTTCTGCTCTCAGAGCTGATGTTTGACTCTTTATAACATCTTTAAGAACTCATATCTGAGTGAATGTTTCAGCTTTAACGAGTCCTCTGAGGGTTCACACGCTGATGGCCACTGATTGGTCCACTCAGTCACATGGGTCAGAACCAGGAAGCTGTGAGGTCACAGAGTAATGGGTGGCTCTGTCAGAGGTCATCATATAATGAATTACAGCAGTTCAGCCTAGAAGATCACAAGACATCTGCTCACATCTGGATGAATCCAGCTGTGTACAGCCAAAGATAGCGTTGCGACTTTCATCTGTAAATAAAGCCGCGGCCGGCTGAGTTGGTTGTGTCCCTGTGACGCGCCTCCAATAACCCATAATAAGTCACACTTGTACTTCGCGCATTTATTTTAAGAACAAAACAAAACAAACTTTTGTGCTTTGAGTCAAATTACAAATGGTCAACAGAAAAGTTTGCCCACAAACCCCTCACCCAACACACCTGCTGCGAACACTGAGATCAGGTAAATAGACTGTGACCACACCCACATGCCATCACCTGAGATGCAGGGAAAGCTGTACACCTGTGCCACTATAACAAATAAACAAAGCATAAACATTGACTTTGGTCAGCTGATCACAGCCTGCCCAGGGATGTAGATGGGTTACTGTCCCTGACTGAGAGGAGTGGTGCATGGTGGGTAAGTAACGAGTGCAGTCACAGAGGTACAGACTCAGCCTCACACTGACAGACCGTTCAGGATCTCTGTGGGAGGTTTGCATGATGTCCCTGCACGAGTCTCTGTGCCTTTATGTAAAACACAACAGTGATATTATTACACCGGTCATCTGAAATGAAAGGACATGTTCACACTGAAAATAAAATGGAGTACTGTGCTGTAGCTGAATGTTAGAAAGACTCTACCCACACCTGTAATCCTGAGATTAATGGTGTACAACGATGACATAGAAAATACAATAAATATGAACTGTGAACTCAGCGTCCATACCCTGAACAAAGCACTCTAAGTATCCTCGCTCTAGTAATAAAAACCATGTGACCTCATACAGTTTTCTTTCTTTTTTATTTGGCTAGGCCAAGAAATGAGCAGTTAGCTTATAGCAGCAAACGTTTGGTCCTTTGAGCTCACGAACCAGTCCACTGTTTAGAGTCAAGCTCATTCTACCAGAGATGTTACATGTTTATTTTGAATGGCCATTAAACCACACAGACCAGCTGTAACAGGGAGCTGCTCTTATTGGACGGTATATTTATAACAACGCTTTGAACGTGTTATTAACTCCAACACCAAATGCAAACCTGGTCATACTTTTCACAGCTGTGGTGTTTAGTGATGGAGACTCTATGACCTCGTGACGTCTGCTGGATTCACTGAGATGGTATTTATCGATCAGCCACTGTGCTGCACCACAACCCACTCACCTCACAAGCTCCACCCTCACAGCACACGAGCATGAGGTCACTGCGAACCATCGACCTGAGGAAGGCTGCTGGTCCTGACGGTGTCCCAGGCCGGGTGGATGGAGCCTTCAGCCAGTGTCTGTCCCACTCTGCCTGGAGTCCTCCACCATAATTAAACCCCATATTTCCAGCTTCGTCAACTCCTGACACCTCCCTCCCTGGAATAATGAAATGTCTGAGCTGCTGGTGTTTATCGGTGCTCTATAGAGAGCATACTGACTCACAGCTGCACCGCGGCTCACAGGAAACACCATGATGGCTGCCCTCTGCCCACAGTGGAAGAACCCCACAGCTCCATCAGAACATGATAAAGGACCCTCCACACCAGGTCATTCACTGTTTGAACAGGCAGCTCCATCAGACCAGCCTGATCTGAACACAGCTTTGACCCAACAGCAGTGAACACAAAACACCAACATTAGTGTGTGTGCAGCTGCAACACAACAGCACAGTGTTTGATAACTGACATGTTTGTGGTTTCTAACCAGTGTGCACTGAATGGACTGACGTGAATAAATACTGTATATGTGACAGAGAGACACGAGACGTCATGTTAATAAGTAAAAAACATTTAATGTGGTTCATACAACACCAACATCACAACATCAGTGACCTCAGGCAGCTGTCAATCACAGGCACTGACAGGAAGTGTGGGTGTGGCCTCAGGTAGCGCTGAGATCAGAGGGGGTGTTTCATGATGTTTGATGCTTCCTGACAGTCAGCAGCTTTGACCTTTGTGTCACATGTTAGCTTCATGTGGGTCAAAGGTCAAAACGCTCTGTGGAGATCCATCAGAACAGCAGAAACACACTCGGGGTCATCATCATTATAAACTTCTAATGTTAGACAAACAGCTGCAGAACATCTGGCTGAGGTTAGTTAGCTGTTAGCTGTTAGCAGAGGAAGGCCAAAGCAAAGCTGCAATTTTCATCTTCTTCAGGGCTGAATACACAACAGATACTGTATATACACACAGGCTGCTCTTCATCACCAGCTCCTCCTCCTCTGTGACCCATCAAGCTGAATGAACCGCCATCAGAGGAACGTCTTCATGGTTCGTGTTCCTGAGGACACAGAGGACAGTCAGACACTCACATGGGTCCGTGGCTTTGATGCTGGAGTCTATCCCAGCTGTGCCAGCTGATCAATATCCTACAAACAGACTGATCAGTTCTCTGATCTGTGATTGATCAGCTGGAACTAGGATGAGGATCAGAGCCAAGAATTAAACCAGGTTCATACATTCATACCTGCACAGGCAGGTCATGTCCTCACTCACTGAGCTCCTTGTTCCATTAATCAGTGTTAAATATGGAATAATCTTTATATGATGAGTCCCATGCAAGAAAAAACATAATTCAAGCAAATAATTAAATTCCTCATAAAGTCGGTGCAGCACTCCAGCCAGGTGCACAGAGAAGCCAGAACCCAAAGAGGTTTCTCCTCTGCTTGAGCTGCAGCGGTGCTACACTTAATCTGCTAGCAAAGGTCATTTTAGCCTGTGCAGATCACTTTGCCTAAAGGAGGCCAGGGTCCTGATGTGATTGGTCACTCTGTTGGTGTCAGAACCCTGGCCCTTCAGTGGATAGGGCAGTTCCATATAAGGCTATATATCTGATGACGATATGAAAACGGCTATTGTTTCATATTATACACGATCGTGTGTTTCATGGTGTCACAATGTAAACTGTTTACGATTTGTTGTCATGGTTTTGATGATCACTGTAGTGGCTATATCAATTTCTTAAAGTTCTTTCTTTCTCTTATATTTAATATAACCACAGTGTGGACGGACAGACAAGCCACTGTTGTTAGGCGTTGTCGTTAGCAACAACGACGGTAAACCCAGCGTGTGGCTCCGCCGTCCGCTTGTTTATTTTCCACATAAACCTTTCACAATAAAGCTAAAGATCCTGTTGAGATTTTGTAGAATAAACTGAAATGATGACAAACAGAAAGACCAAAACAAATCCAGGACATTATTCCTAAACGAGGGGCTCGCTCTGTAGCAAGAAAAGTCTGACACGGGCCAGAAAACTGGACTCTGCAAAACCCGTCCCCACTCAAACCTCTTCTACCACCTATGCAAGAGTCACATGACAGAGGATGGAGAGTTTATGGATGAGAAGCAAAGCTCTACCTACCACATCACCCTGTTCTGAAGCAGCTTCACTGGCTCCCGGTCAAATCTCACATTAATGTTAAAATACTCCTCTATACATTGTCTCTCCCCACCGTCTCTGGCTTGGTTCAGATCACCATCCCACTCCAGTGCCCCCAATCATCCTCTTCTCTTTCTTTCTCTCTTCCTTCCTCTCGTCTTGTTTCTATGGGGGGCTTTTAGCCGCTCTGACCCCCAACCTTACCTGCAGACCTCAGAAACATCACTTCATTCCCTCTTTTTAAGTCCAACCTCAAAACCCACCTGTTTAATGTTGCCTACTCCATATAACTGTTTTCACGCCTGTTTTATTTGCTGTACAGTGTCCTTGAAAGGTGCTTTTAAATAAGCATCCTAAAAGGTTAATTGTGTTCATCTGTGTTTTCAGTGGGCACCACTGAACTGTTCATTGTTCCCTCACTGCTGCTAGTTTGGGTCATTATGCAAATGTCCTGTTTATACGGTTGGAAACCTGCAGTCGGCTGAGACTGAATGAGTCACCTGGATGATAATGAAATGTTTCTCCCACTGAAAACGTCCAGATGAACACAATCAACCTTTGGGTTGATTCACCTCCACACTGCCAAGTCAAGTAAGAGCTATAGTGATGTGAACCAGCAAAATGTCACCAGCAGATGAACTGCACGAGTGTAAAAATGCAGCACGATCACAGGAGAAACACTCGCAGCTTCTCTGTGGGCGTGGCCGCTGAGCTCGGTGCAGGTTGTTGGATTTATGCACGAGCAATTCAACTGTGCCTGTGAAACGAAATGATTTGCTCAGATTACATTTTTTCTTTTTCTTCTTCCTTCTTATGATATAAAGATCATTCCATATTTAAAGTGCAGCTCATTGACACTGGACCAGCTGCAGTTACCATGGTGACCTCACAGGTAAACACACCTCTGTGACCCTGCAAACATACCTCGGTTCCTGTTTTGGTGGCCTCCTCGTCCGTGGAAGCATGTCTGCCATGATTCCCTTTAAGGTTGCTGCAGAGGAGAAAACAGGAGTGAGTCTCAGTCTTTCTACATCAGACACACAAACCAGGTGACCATGTGACTGTTTCCTCTCAGCTGTGGTTTAGTCTGAGCAGTGGGAACACTGGAACAACCTTTCATGGTGATGAAAACGATCACATACATGAACTCCATAGATCGACTATGACTGAGTGATATTTAAAATGCAAACCAAGCATTCCCTAAATCAGCACCTGGTCACCTGTCTGTATAGGCCAATCACAGCTCTCCGTGAACAGCTCAGCTGGGAGTTTAACACTACATTGAAGGACATGTATCACAAATGTTATTTTACACTCTGCACTGACACATTTACAGTTTAGTTATCTCACTGGGCTCAGTGTTGTTTGGTCCAAAGGTTTTATTCATACCCATCGCGTAGATAAAACACACTTAGCTTCTATATTTGGCTTGTAAAAGATGCTCTTAAGTCCTGGTGATTATCAAGCAAGTACTTATGATTATTTTCATTTCTCTTTAATTCAGTGAATGAATGTGGATTTAACCTTGAAGCATGTTCAATCATCCAGGACTTGTGAAGATAGTTCTGCTGTTTATCAAACTAGACACCTTAAATATTTGTTATTAGTTGTAGTTTCACTACAGCAGCAAAGGGACGGTGCAGCTAAAGGTGTGTTCATCTTTATGTGACACTTTCTTTCTTATAGTCTAAACTTCTTATCAATCTTTTTAGAGCATTTGTTCGATATTTACTGCACTGGTACGCTCACGTCTGACTTTGAGTATCACTACTTTCTGTAGCAGCACGCGATCATCCTTGTTGTAGACGGTGCAGGTGTAGCTACGACTGTCGTCAAGGCGGGGGTGTTTCAGGGTCAGACTGAGGTCTCCAGTTCTCAGTGGATCTTCCTCCATCTTTGTGCGACCTCTGTAACGCTGGTGCTGTTTATTTTGCTGGTTGCTGGGTTCACTCTCATACACATCGACCATGGCGATTTCGTGTTCAGTGAACATCCAGTACACTTTGCGAACATGATGAAGGTCAGCTGTGGTTTTAAAGGGCAGCAGGACAGACTCCTCCCCCTGTGGCACCTCCACCACTTCCATCTGGAAGTCTGAGAGCAGAACATGAACACACACAGACATGAGTTGATGGTCCATCCTGTCCTCTGCTGTGTAACCAGCTGTTCTAAGTGTTTCTGTGGAAGCTGTGCAGCTTTTATTCTCACACAGCTGCAAACAGCTGGACACACAGGTTTACACATGCAGGGATTCACACTGTGGACAAACAGCTGTTACACTCACCTCTGACACTGAGAGTCACTGATCTCTGTAGCAGAGCGCGTCCATCCTCCTTATAGGTGGTGCAGGTGTAGACTCCACTGTCAGTGAGCTGGAGGTCTTCCAGGTTCAGACTGAAGTCTACCTCACTTCCCTGATGGTTAGGTATTTTCTTCATCAACTTGTATTTGGGGTATATGAGTTTCCACTCCACTGTGGAAACGTCACGGTGTTCTGTTTTGTTAAATTCTAACAAATAAGACTTGTCTCCATACACTGCCCTCTTTATCGTCACAGGGTCGTCTGAAAAGAGACAGACAGACACCACTGAGAGTTGTCAATGGAAAATTGTACTTAGTAGTCAGTATAATCTTTAATGATATAAGTTTGTATATGGTAGAATACTGCAGTGAATCATTTGTGTTTAGAAGTATGTAGTTGGTCTCATCCTAGGAAGTCTGTAACATTCCAGGGTGTTCTGGCATTCACCCCCACATCCTGGGAGCATGGGAAAGTTCGTACCTGCTCTTATTATTTTATGGTAGGATTAACGTAGTTATATCTGTCTTAGTCTAAGTGCTTTTGTTTAGATGAACTGCTGGAC